CAGCTGGCACAGCCCTACCTGTAGCAATTGTTGTGGAAGCGATTGTAGCTGCCCAGCGCGGTCAGGGCGCCCAGCCCGATGGCATAGGAGAAGAAGACTTGGGTGCCGGCATCAATCCAGACCTGAGGCATGAGGGAGGGTATAGGGGGATGATGAGAGTGTCAGGGGAGTGTCCAGCACTCAACCTCCTCCTGCCCTCCCCACTGCCCTCACCTGTGCCTCAACCAGCTTGGTCCAGTCGGGTTTCAGGTAGTAGACAATGCCACCCAGTGCACCAGGCAGTGTTACCCCATGGACCAGCAGCAGGATGAGGACCACATATGGGAAGAGTGCCGTGAAGTAGACAATCTGCAGAGCAGTGGGTGCCTGTGAGACCCCTGGGGCCAGGGCTCTCTGCCATGTGCCACAGGTGTCCCAACTGGACTAAAGCTTGTGAATGACCCCAGCGACTGGTGGCACCTCCTGGACAGACATGGGACAGGGGCCTTGGACCCCTGTGGGCTGTGGCACAGGAGGGCCAGAGCCAGCAGCACTGTGTGCCACAGTCCTGTTCCCCCATGCTAGTGGCCTTGATGAGTGTTCTCCCCTTGCCAATGTTACCTTCCCAGTCGACTTTACACCCTTCCAGATGCAGAAGTAGACAACGACCCAAGTGGTGACCAAGCAGAGGATCATCTGCCAGTTCATCTCCCCCGGCTCGTCAATGCCCCCAGAGAGCCGCAGCACCTTGTTCCTGCAGAGTGGGCCCATGCTGAGCACTGGTGCGACACCCTCGGCCCCAGGCAACACCCTCCTGGTTCCCACACTCACTCCCAAAACTCAATGACAGGTGAGCGTTTGTTGGTCATGTCAGCGCAGCTGAAGTTGGAGGTCCAAGTGCTGGCAGTGGCATTAGTGCTGACATTGTAGCAGAGGTCCAGGTTGAAGAGCTCCGTGCACTGGTCCGTGTTCCAGGAGTGGCCACAGGTGGCCCAGGGCAGGGTGTCCGTCAGTGAGTGCACCAGGTAGAAGAGCCCCCACACCAGAATCATGATGTAGTAGGAGTTGCAGAAGAAGACGATCACCATAGAGGCGATGCCTAAACCTGCAGCACGGGGAGATCGGAGCCCGCAGGCAGCTGTGGGCACCTGGCACCCGGCACGGGGTGGGATGCGGGGTGCTGGCAGGGATGGGGAAGGACAGAGGAGAGCTGATGGGGGACAGGACAGGGGGAGCTGGCAGCCCCGGGCAGGACAGCAGGGAGCTGGTGGGAACGGGACAGGGGGAGCTGGCAAGCCTGGGCGGGACAGGATGGGGTGGGGACAGCTGGCAGCATGGCACAGGACCAGGGGAGAGCCGTCAGGATACTGCTGAGGTGG